CACCTCCCCAGCGCACTCCCTCCTTCATGACTTACTTTAAAATGTTGTTCCTCCTTTATCCCCCCCCCTCTCACCCCTTCATTTCAATTCTGAACCTCTGTTTCTTTTCTCTTCTGTTTTTTTCTCTTTTTCTGTAGCTTCTTCTTTATGTAACCGTCACCTTGCCAAAGCCCCCACACCCCCTCTCCCGGTGGGCTGTCGGGCACTGGAAGAGCCTGCGGCTACGGGCAGCCCTGCCAGGAGGTCCGCCCTCCTCTCCTTCCCTCTTGTTCCCTCCCGTGCGCTGTGCTGTGTGTCTGTGCGGGATCTGTCGCTCCCAGCGCGGCTCCGACAGCGTCCAGGCTTCCCGGGCTGCCAGAGGTAACGGCCAGAATGGCCCACGTTGCACTGGGTTAGTTGGATTTCTTTCCTCCCTCCCCATCTACTCCCCTTTTGCCATAATATGCACACGTTGCTGATGACAAATAGCGACAGACTGGGGGTGAGTGTGCGTAGCTGGAGGGTTTCGTTTCTGCCTCAAGTCTGGCTGCTTTGGATACCGCAGCTTCATCCCAGGGCCATCCTGTGCTCCTCTGACACGGCTGGAAATCCGTCTGTAGACCCGGGAATGTTCTCCGTGTGTCACTGTGTGAAGTGGGGATGGTGGATGCCGCGCCCTGTGGTGCTGATGGAGCCTGTTCTGGACAGCCAAGGCCTTATTTTCTGGCTGATGTAGCAAAGTAGGATTTTCTTGTACAGCCGAACTGCACTGACTTGTACTTAGATCGAGGGCTTCGCTTTGTTTTCATGAAGCCTAGTTAGCAATTATTTTTTTAGCAGTCCTGAATTGTTAAACTTTGTACCTTGTTTATTTGAAATTGAATTCAGTCAAAAAGCTTGAGAAGTGCCAAAGGATTGGTTGAAGGTAAAACCAAACCTGTAAGCGTGGTGTGTAGTGATCTCCAGCTGGTTTGGCACAGAGGGAAGGAGGCAGCCTGAGCTTCTTGGGATGTTTTTTCCTGTGGAGTGATGCACTTTAATTTTTAACCGAATACTAGTGACTGACTCTTTGCATCTGTGAACCTTAATCAAGGAATTCCCCTCCTTTAATGGGGAATGGTCTAGGTTTGGCCTCTCCCCTCTGTGATGTGCAGGCTGCTGGGAGGCTCTGCTGAAATCTGCTGGGGGTTTTTTTCAGAAGCACAATATTTTGCAGCACTTTCCAGTGACGAGGGTCGGCTCCCTCCAGCCGGGTGGAAGGAGGAGATCTTTGCAACCAACCAAGTGACTTTATAGATACAGTCAGAAAGGTTGTGAAGTGCTTGGCCTTGTGTGTGTGCTGTGCTGATTTGCCTGGTGTGTAACTGGCCCTGTTGACCACTGCTCAGAGCGCAGGGCTATCAATATCTGCACAAACGTAGCTTGGGACAGCATTTGCATTAGTACCAAACCCAGAGCCTGCAGAGGTCTCAGGTGGTACCTGTTCTCCTGCCACCAGTGCTTCCCTTGAGATGGCCAGATTTAGGAAGCTGTGCAATTCTCCAGCTGTTATGTTTCTCTCATTCCTTGGACTTTTTTGTTATATTTAAAAACTGTAGGATGGCTTTATTTGGGAGTAGGAGTCTGCAAGTTGCTCTCGAGACCATGGTTTCTGGGACATTTCTTCTGCCCCTGGGAGGTGCTGGGCTGGACTGGGGGAGGTGGTGGTTCATCCCCTGCGGGGGCTCAGCTCTGGGTGACCCACCTGTAGTGCTGCTGTGGCAAGAAGGTTAGAAGAGGGGTAAAACCCTTTTTTCCCTGGTGGCTTCAGAACCCCAGATGGGAATTTTTTTAAAGGTTAGTCTGAAGAGAAGCACAACCCAAATACCAACACTTACACAGACTGCCTTTATTTTGCAGCTCTATAAGAGTTTTGCTGTGCTGGTGCCTTGAGTCCTGCTTGCAGCTCTGGACTTCGTGTCTCCAGAAGGACATAGTGGAGTTAGAGGAGGGCACTAATGGTAAATGGGATGGAGCAGCAGCTGCCAGGTGAGATGGCTCAGTTTGGCCAGGGAAAGGCAGAGGTGAGGGAGGATCAGCCCCGCTGTGAGCAGGAGGTGGCAGCACATGTCCTCTAGAGGTCCCTTGCAGCCCAGATTTATTTGTGACTCTTGTTGCAGAGCTCTCCAAGTTCTGATGGCGCTGGGTGCCAACCTGCTAAGTCAGCAAATCGTCACAACTAGACCAGAGGAGTAACTTTTAAGGAGCAGGTACTAAACTTGTGGAATTTGTTGCCTCAGGTTGTTGAGACAGATGGTGTCAGCAGAAGGTTTTGGGGTTGATTGGTGGGGTGTTTTTTTTTAAAGGCGAACTCAGGGAGAAGAGATCCAGAGGGAAAACAAGGTGAAATGTCTGACAGCCATAATCCAGTGGTGGTGGATACTGGGGCAGAGGGAAGGGAGCAGAAGGCCCTGCCGGTGTCCACAGTGAGACTGAGCTGCAGAGGGTGGTGGAGGCTTCCCCACACCCCGGGGCTGGGGAGGGGATGGCAATGTGCCCTTGGGCTGCTGCCTCCGTGGCTGCAGCTGTTGGGGAAGAGGTGCCAGTGTGGGGAGAGGATGGCAACGTGAAACCTGTTGAGGACAGCTCAGAGAGGTTATTTGTCACCAGGTGTCCCCAGCAGAGCTGGGAAAGCCACTTCTTCCATTGGAGGGAGTGGGTATCTGAGTTAAAAATCATGCTTTGGGCTTAACTCTTTCGTGTGGCTGCTGGAGGGGATCTGTGCTCTCACATCCTCAGAGCAAACCCTCAGGGGGCTGAGGGAAGCCGGGGGGCTGCAGGGAACAGTGCAGCAAGGGAGAGTTTATGGCTGAAGGCATTGGAAAGGAGCAGCAATGCTCTGCTGGGATGTCCCTGCCGTGCCCTGGGGAGCTCCCTGGGCTTGGGGACTGAGCAGTAACGTGCTGGGGTTTGTGAATGCAGTGGTGTTATCCCAGTGCTCATGAGGGAGAGGGGGCAGCAGGGAGCTGAGCCTGCAACTGGGAATTGGTTTTCTCTCCAGCCAACCATTCACCTGCCCAGTGTGCTTGGCTGGACTCCTGCCCTCGCTGCTTCCGGCCCCGCTGGAGCAGGCAGACCCTGGGCAGGTCCGTGGTGGGGAGCACTGGGATGCTGTGAAGCTTGTGGGAAGGTCACAGGAACATGAGGAGACAAGGGCACATCAGGGAATGTTTTCCTGTGGGAAACAGGGAGCCCTGGCAGCACTCCAGGCCAGCCCTGTGTTCCGACAGCGAGAGCTGCGTACAAGCCAGCTTCTGAAGGTGATTGGGGGGCAGCTTGGAGGAGATGATGTTGCCTGGGGTTTTTTTGGGGAGGAAATGTGGGAAGTGGGAAATGGCTTTTGTCTCTGGCCATGTGGGTTGTTTCCAAATCAGCTGGACCTGCTGCATGGGGGAGCTGCTCTTGCTGGGATGACTCATTTTCCAAGGTAAGGCTGTGTCTGAAGGTCACCTCGTTAGCCACAGAGCACTGTAAACGTGTATACCAGTGCAGGCAGCACAGCCAGGGAGCTGCCCATAGGTGTTCAGGGCCTGTGCCAGGACAGCAGGACACTGCAGAGGTGGGTCACACAGACCAGGGACAGGGTTTGTGCCTGAGCCTTTTTTCTTGGAGTTGTCTGGCACAAGATCATTGGCACGGGTTTGTGCATAGTGCCAGCAAAATAAAGTGTCTGTCTCTCTGCAACTCACTGGGGCTGGGGGGTGCCTGTGCTTGGGGCTGGGAGCGGGAAAGCACTCACTTGGCAGTGAGGGAGACCTGCCTCTGCAGGATTTGGCCTCCTGGGAGCTTGCCGAGTCGGTGCTGTGGCTTGTGTGGCTCCGGGCAGCACAGGGAGGCTGGGAAGGGTTCTGGGCGGTGACCCTGTGGTGGGATTGGGCTGTGATCCTCACAAGTGCCTGTGTGCTTATGTGCCAGTGGGGCAGGGGGGAACGTGCCCTTCAACCTGGGAGGGAAGCAGCACGTGGAGGGAGAGAAGCCAGCGTAAGTTGACTGGAAAAGGTGTGCAACACACGGTGAGCTGGAAGCAGAGAGCACCGGAGCTGGGGCTCTCCTGCACCGACAGGGTGCCTTGCTGGGGCTGTGCTGCTGACACCCCCAGAGGACTGCACAGCAGCCTGGCTGGAGAAAACCGAGCCACTGGATGAGAAGGTCAGGGTCTGGAAATAGCATAAGGATTGCAGGAAGGGCTGGAAGGGAAGGAAGACACACACCCCTCTGAGAAATATGGCCTGGGGAGGGGTTTTTCAGGACACGAGCAGGAAGAGCTGGAACCTGTGGGAAGGCTCTTGTGGTGGTCTGTGCATGACAAGAAGATGGCACCTTGGAAGGCACAGGGCAGGATGGGCTCCAGGACGGGAGATGGAGCAGTGTTCCAGCCATGCACTTGGCCTGGAAAGGGAAGAGCCAGGAGTGAGGAGCACCAGAGCTGGGCTAAAGCCAGAACCACTGGAGGCAACGAGTTCATGTTGGTGACTTCCCTGGCACCCCAGGGGCTGCCCAGCACCCCCAAAGGCACTTTAAGGCACTTTGTCAGCTGTCTGGCACAGAGCAACTCCCTGGCAGCATCTGGGTAAAACTGATCCAGGTCTCGGATGAAAAGCACAACACCAGACTGGGAATCCAGGACAACTTTCTTTATTGCTACCAGAAGGCTTTCATCAGTACAATGGCTCCAGATACGATACCTTCCTCAGGGCTGTGGAGAGAGCGTACAGTCGGGACAGGGCGTTCTGAGAACGGGGTGTCACAGGGACGAGACAGGTTTAAAGGTCTGACTCTTGGTTAGAAGTTACATGAACACAAAACTCGAGGATCAGGGTCTTTCGTTTTGGTTTTGTGACTGACAGGGACACACATTCCAAACCTCAGGCATCCACAGCCGCCCCGGCACCTCACCCAGCAGTGCTGGGAAAAGTGTGGGCAAAACCAGGCTCTGCACAATTCAAAGCTTACACTTCATGGAGAGGGTAAAGCATTGGTGAAAATTTACACTGAGTGCAACATTTCTCGGTGCAAACAAGAAAAAAATACCGTTTTGGTTCTAGTGCTAGAAAATGCAGTAACTGCTTTCTGTGTTGGGAGAAGCAAACCGGTGTAACTGGAGAAGTCTCTGTGTGAGGCAGAGCACCAGGGCCAGCTGCCCTAGGGTTCTTCCAGCGCACCTTCACACTCCTGTGGGCATTACTGAAGTGTGGAGCAGCTTGCGAGAACTGGTTTGGGGTTTTGTTTAAAACCTTTTGTTTAAATCCAGTTTTGCAGTATTATCACATTTAAACACCCAAGTATTAACAAAAGAAAAGAGGTTTTTTTGTTTAGAAGGGCAAAAGAAAAAGCTGTGGGGCAGGACAGAACGTCAAGCACAAGACTGGCTGAGAATTAAAAAGAGCAAGCAGAAGGGGAGTGAGGAGCAGGTCGGAATGGGATCAGAGGTCTTAGTTGGCTGGGAAACCTGGAACAGCTCTGCAGGGTTGATGTGAGCTCTCAGATGTGGAGAATGGGTTACAACACACAGGAGCAGAAAAACAGTGGAACTGACAACACTAGAAAGGAACAGGTTTTTGCTACTTTTTTTTTTTGGTTGGTTTTTGGGTCTTTTTTTAGATTTTTATACTTTTTTGTGTTTTTAAGTGCTTAAATAGTGGAACTATAATTAGCCGCACAAGAAATAAAATTCAAAAAGGGTTGGGATTTTTTTTCCCTGGGGTTTTTTTGTTGTTTTTTTTTTTTTTGGCTCCCTTCAGTTCAGCCTGACAAGGTATGGCCCTTTCTCCCCCCACTGAGGACACGGGCTGCCGGGTCCGGCGGGGCTCCTGGAGCGGGTGGTGGCACTCGCAGCTACATGACAGACACCGGCTGCAGGGGCGGGCAAGGGGACACGCTGCCCTCCTGCCGCGAGACGTCGGCGCCGCAAACAGAGCCCATGTTCTCCAGGGCCACGACCTCCGGGGCGAGGTCCTCGTTGTAGAGACGCTTGATCCCGTCGTAGAAGTCGTCCACTTCCATCTCTTCCACCTTGCGCTTGGCGGAGGCCTGTTTGCAGCCGCCGGCGGGGGCGGGACGGCGCTGGTAGAGCGCGGCTGTACCTGTGACTGGCGCTTCTGGCCGGCCGTTGTCCTTGGAGAGACCCGGCCCTGGGACAGAGGAGGGCTGGCGGTGGAACGCTCCTCTGTTACAGGTCACCAGGGTCTGCTGGAGGGGACTGTAGACATATACAGAGTTGGGCAGCAGAGAAGGCTGCACAGTGGAAAGGTGATGTGCCACGAGCTCCCGGCAGTGGATCAGCTGCGAGCTGTCCATCTGGAGGGGGAAGACAAGCAAAGGTACCGGCCTTGTGGGATCGCCACCATGGTGAGGAGAGAGCCTGGGCTCCAACAGCACCACCCAGCCAGGCAGGAGGAGGACGTGATACAGCACCCCTACCATGATGACCACCTGGGATACAGGCCCCTGCTCCTTCTTACACCTCTTGGGAATAGTGGTGAGGAAAAAGCTTAAAAGATACTAAAGGGTTTCACTGCCAGAGCCTTTCCAGTACTTGTCAGTATGCTGGGAATGAATGCCTGAACCACTGACTAGGAATTTTGCGCTGGTGTGTTATTTTCTCCCTGGTGCAGCAGGACTCTGTGTACATGAGGGCACCCCCTGGATGTGGTCAGGATGGAGCACTGTTCCTCCAGGCAGAAGCCCAGCCATCCCCATACAAGCGTACCAGCAGGCAGCCATTGGCAGCCAGGGATCCCAAAGCCCTGGCTGGCGGGAGCACTGAGCAGGATGTGTCTGCAGTCCCTCCCCGCCCCTCACCTGTGCCTTCTGGAGCAGCTCGATGATGAGAGCCAGCCAGTCGGGGAGCAGCTTCTCCAGCTCCAGGCTGACGATGGCCAGTGCCAGCATGGAGCCCTTGAACTGCAGCAGCTGGAAACAGGCCATGCAGTGCAGCAGCTGCTTGGTGAGCGCTGCCACGTGCTGTGACGGGCTCAGCGTGGGCAGCAGAGCCAGGAGCTGCGGCCTGCTGGACACTGCCATGGCATGGAACTGTGGGAAGACAAGGACAGGAGGCAGCTGGAGGCACCGACCTTAGGAACGCCTTGTGAGATGGCTCGGACACACTGGCATCCTCCAGCTTAACCTTGGAGGGATTTCCACACCAGGGGGAAAAACCCAGCACATTGAACCCACCAAAGCTTGGTGCAGCCCTTCCAGTGGGACCTGCCTGGCTTCTTTGGCAAGGCTTTTTCATTCAGAAAGTGCTTGTACAGAGGAATTACAAACATCCCAAGGTCTTTGTTCCCCTACAGGTAGAATTTTTGTTGAGGTGCTTCTCAAGACATATTTGCGCTGACAGACACCTGAAAGACCATCAGTAGCCCCTTACTTACAATATGAAGGAAATCCAGTGGCGTTGCCATGTGAAGATCCCAGTTCAGTTTATCCAGGATGATCTTCTCCATTCTGCGGATTTCAGCTGGAGAACAACCACAGAAGCTATCCCGAGCCAACACCTTCAGTACTGGAATCCTCTGCAAAAGCCAACACAAAAAAAGAACGGATTGCAATAGAAATCCTACCCAATGCTTCATTCCTGTCCTGGCAAGTGTCAGCCACTGTGTGGAAGGACTGGACTGGAAGGACAGATACTCTGACAATTGCAAGGTAGGAAGAACAGTTACCTCATCTTCCTCAATGGTCTTTGCAGCGAGGAAGAAGCAGCTGATTGCAATACAGTTGAGGTACTTTGGACGGGCCTGCAGGACAGAAGAGCAGAGAAGTCTCTGTGTCAGCATGATGCAGAAATGATGCCCTGATCCTTCTGGTTGGACATCCCAAGCCCCAGGGTCTCCATGTGGATCAGCAGGCTGACCTCTAACTACGCCCTGGCGGTGGCAGGCTGTGCCAAGCACAGATCCATGCTCCGTGACATCAGCTGAGCAGAGATCTGATCTGGCAGCCCCGTGATCGGAATGGGCAGCACTGGAGTGGAAAGAGCTCGGGCTCAGGCACTGCAGCAGAAATGGGAAGGACTGTCTTGCCTAGGGAAGTGTAACTTGGAAAAACACCACTCAGTTGTTTTGCACTACAGTTCCCAAACCTGTGGCCCAGGGATTAGTGGAGGAGAGCCAGTCCCTTCCATGGGAGATGGTTTAGGCAAGGTAAATGAAATTTGGATGGGAGAGGGTTCTGTCTGTGAGCTCTGTCCGTGTGACTGTCTTTACAAAGAGCTTCACTCCCACCATCAGTGTAACAACCACTGGACGTGGTCCCCTCCTCCACAGTGGCCAGGGGCGGGGAAAGGCAGAGTCTGTTCCTAAACCTTGGCACAGCTGGAGATGCTGAAAGCAAAGGTAAGTGAAAATCCTGCAGCAAACCTGAAAATCCACTCACAATTTGTACTTGTGCACTCAGGTGTCCAAGAGAATGAAAGCCCTTAGGGCAGGACCAGAACTGGGCCCTGCTGAGGGCTAACGAGTGCTGTGCAGTGACACACACCAAGACTGCTGGCTGTGGGTCACAGCCAGTCCCAGCAATCCCAGACTGTGTTCCTGGGGATGGGAAAGCACCTGATAAACAGGAGTTGAGCTGCATCAGAGGAATGAGAGCTTTATGGGAGAGGAGAGCTGGGGGAAGGAGCACAGAGCCCTGACGCTCATGCAGGCTAAGCCCCTTTCCCAATCCCTGCTCGCTGCCTCAAGC